GGTAATACTCTTCTTTACTTGGTTCAAAATGGTGGTGGAGGTGTGCGGTCGAGTTGGTCCCAACACCACTCATCGTGAGGACGTTCCCGAGACCGTAGATCTTTCCGGGGCGGAAGGGCTCATCTTTCTCCAGGGGAGCTGCTGGTGGGTTCTAATGGTTGACCGTGCAGCTAACAGCCTAACGCATAGCCCGCTACGCTCCCAGAGCTCCTTTTACTGAAAGTGATCTTAAATAGTCATGGGAAAGAGTGGGGTTGGGGAGAGGTGAAAGAGAGTTATAAAAGGAGAGACTGGTGGTGGATGGACCCTACTCTGAACAAATACAGTTAAGACACTGGTGGGGAGAACAAATGGGCAAGTCTGAATACAAAATGAGTGCGAAATGACATTAAGGAATGATTGTTAATTTTACAACATATGTTAGAGATTTTGCTATTGGGTATGAAAATGTCCTTCTTTTCAGCACGCTACACCAAGTAAACTGGGATGGTTCTGTAAGATAAGCACTGGGCTGAGAACCACAGGTCTGTGGTTTGAGCCTGCCAACCACTTCTCTGGAGAAAGATGATTTCTGTTGAAGATTTAAGCCTCAGAAACCCCGTACAGGGTTGCTATGAGTTGGAACGTAAAACCACCACCACCACCGAATACAAGGGGGCTTCAACATGTCAAGGAAGCCTTCCCTTCCCTTTCAGTTCCGTCTTTCCATGAACTTTCGGAACCCCCTCACATTTAGGAGTGACACGTCTGCTGAGTAGATTCCAACTCACAGTGGCCCCATAGCACACAGTGGACCTGCTTCACAGGCTTCCAAAGCCGTGGTTCTTTATGGGGACAGACTGCCTCACCTTCCTCCCACAGAGCGGCTGCTGAGTTTGAACTGCCAACCTCTTCGTTACCAGCTGTGTGGTTAACCTCTGCACCAGCAGGTCTCCTTCCATTCCTGCACTCACCCCTTCTAAAGGTTTTATTTAGGGCTGCCTTTTGTCCCTACAGAAGAGCCTTGGCGGCGCTGTAGGATAAGCACTGGACACTAACTACAAGGTTAGCAGTTCAAACCTACCAGCTGTTCTGCAGAGAAAGATGAGGCTGTCTGTTCCCATAAAGGCTGACGGCCTCAGAAACACTATACATAGTCCCTGTGAGATGAAATCAACTTGATGCAGTGGGTTGGATTGGGTTTTGGGATTTTGTCCATACAAGATATAAGACAGGCCATTAAGGTGTTGAGCTCCTAACCACTCAGTCAGTGGTTCAAACCCATCAGCTGCTCCATGGAGGAAAGATCTGACAGTGTCCTTCCATAAAGACTTTAGTTGTGGAAATGCTGTAGGGTGGGTCTAGTTTATCTACAGGGCTGCTATGAGGTAGACTTGACCCCATGGCAGTTTTCCCCCTGATCCTACAGTGTAGCCTCTAAGGCTGGATGCAGTCTTCTCAGGTCCACTGAGACCTCAGGAAAAGCCCTGGCCCCAGGTACTTATGGAACCTGCTCTGGGGTGAGGGTAGGGGTCCCAGAGCCCAGCCCCCCCAAGCATCACTTCACTCTGCATCCCTTTACAAGGCACTTTCCCCCATTCACCTGGATGGATTTTCATCAACCGTTTCCAGAAAATCGAGATGCCGTCTGTGGATGGGGCTTGCTCACCCAAGGCTTCTAGAAGGAACCCACGCTGTCAGCTGACCCCATCAAACGCTTCTAAGACATTCTGACTCTTGCAGAGAAGGCACATCTGGACAGTGATCTGATACAATGATTAGAACAGCAGGTTTCAGGATGCTCTGGCTGGGTGTGGAATGTACTAGCATCAAAGTGTTTGCCCATTTGACCCTTTGACTGGGTCTGTACTGTTTGGTCTGCTACGAGCAGGAAATGTTTGAAAAGTCATGTTTTGTGGGGACTCTGAGGCACTACAAGAGTTGGGACCCACTGCCTTTGGACTGGGAGCCCTCACCCAAAGGCAGTGTGGCAGGGGCCCAGAGGAGGGTCAGGGAAGGGAGGTAACCCATGGGTACCACCCAGGAACTCCAGGACAGGGGGCATTGGCAGTCTGAGCTGGAGACGTCCCAGGAAGGGCAGCCCCAATGACGTCCCTGCTGCCGAATGGGAGAGGGTTGCATCAGGGTGAGCTGGGATGGCCTGCGGCTCTTTCCAGGTGATGTAAACCTGCCCTGGGCTGACATGCCCACATGAGTCTCCCAGACCCCTCAGCCACCGGCTGGACTACACTGTACTAGTAGCCGGCTCTCAGATACTGACCACCCTCACACAGTACTCCTACCCCATCAAAGTCTCACGTTGGTATTCACAAATCTGCCCACGTGTGACGTGAACTGAGTGTGTTGTTAAGTACTGATTCATAGCGACCCTGTATAGGGTTTCTGAGGGGGTTTGAACCACTGACCTTGCTGTCTGCAGTCCAGGGCTCATCCTACAGTGCTACCCCATGGCTCCTGAACTGAGTGTAACGTTAAACAAATACACAGCAGAGAGCAACCTGGAGCCACCCAAAAGCTTCCACAAAAGGCCAAGTGACAGCAAAGGGTCTGTGCTCTGGTCTTAGGGATTTAGCCACAGGCATCCTAACAACAAGGCTGCTGGCACATGGATTAAAAGACAAACCCAAAAACCCCATTCATCCATTCTGAATCACAGAGTCCATGGGCTTCACTGAGTTTATAAGGCTGTGTCTTTATGGGAACAGACTGCTAATCTTTCACCTAGGATTGCTGCTGGCTTCGAAACGTTGACCTTACAGTTGGTAACAGCCAGCTCTAAACCACTGTGCCACCAGGGTCCCTAGGGCATGGATCATTCTTGTTGCCAATGACCCTCATGTTGGTTCCAACTCATAGTGACCCTGTCTAGGGTTTCCGAGGAACGGCTGGGGAGCTTGAATGGCCTGCCTTGCAGTTAGCAGTCCAGTGTTGATCCTACAAGGACATAGAATAGCACAGGCCTAAGTCCCCCTTATTGACCTTGAAAGACTGTCTTTGTCTGGAGGAAACACAGAGAACTGAGGATTAGAGAAAGGACCCTGGTGAGGTGATGTGATGGACTTTAAATTCACCCAGAAGGTTCTGTGGAAAAAGAACTGGCAATCTGCTCCTGTAAAGATTTACAACTTAGAAAAGCCTACATAGCGTCGCGATGGGTCAGAAGTAACCCGACAGCATAGAACGACAGAAATAAAGAGGGTGGGTCTGAGAAATGTTTATCTGTAGTCCTGGCAGAGGGCCCTCTCGGTCTGTTGTCACTGTGTCTTTATCCTTCCCAGAGGATGTAGACAGACCTGGTCTGCGGAGGGGTGCTGCACATTTATATAGATACTATACCTACAGCTATTGTCACTGTGTCTTTATCCTTCCCAGTGGATATAGACAGACCTGGTCTGCGGACGGGTGCTGCACATTTATATAGATACTACACCTACAGCTATTGTCACTGTGTCTTTATCCTTCCCAGTGGATGCAGACTCACCTTGTAGACAGACCTGGTCTGCGGTGGGGTGCTGCACATTTATATAGATACTACACCTACAGCTATTGCTCTTGACCTCTTCACATGAGATCAACTTGGTACAAAATGGTTATAAAACAGTTTCGGTTTTATAAAACACCACCAATCATGGAGGAGGGGCCTTGGAGATTATCTGCACCTGGCTCCACCCCCACCCTGGAGCAAGAAGGGACAAAGGAGGGAGGGTGCCTGGTACAGGAAGGACACACAGAATCCTTGATGGCTGGCCAGGAGGATGCCCATGGGGGGTGCGATGTATGCGGGAGATGGTCTAGCTCTGAGGAGTGAGAACTGACCTGGCCCGGGTCCTGCCCACCTGTCAGGGGCATCTGGCCTGGCCATGGGAGAGCCAGGATCAGGGCCTGTGTCCACCACTGGACACCATGTGCGCAGAGATGTGGCCTCAATAGCCGCAGACAAGAGTCCTCACCTGACTTGGGAGCTTTGCGGCCCTGCCTGGGGCCCCAATACCATCATCTTCCCCGAGGACCCCAACCTGAAGGGGACCTGTGAGCCATGTGGGGTCTGGCCCTCTGGGCAACACCATAGCCGAGCTGGCTCTTCTCAGACCCAGGCCCAAGAGACTCCTGCTTTTGAGCAGTCCCAGCCAACCTGAGTCAGGTTACCCCAGTATGAAATGTAACCCCCTTTCCTTGTTTGCTGTCTCCTTCCTAACAGAGCCCCATCCCTGGGAGGTGCATCAGTGAACGTAAGTACTCTGCTCCTTGTCAGGAATTTGGAAGTTCAAGTCCACTTAGAAGCACTTCTGAAAATGCCATAGTGCACAGTTCTGCTCTGATGCACAAGGGGGCACCACAGTTCAACTGGTTTCTGGTTTGAACTGACCCCCGCTTTGGTTTAAGTATCAGAAGCCCTCCCCCAGATCTGGGCTGTGTGTGTGTCTGTGTGTCTGTGGATTCAGTACAAGTCTAAATCAGAATTCCGGCTCCCAGGGACATTTATGGTGGTTACCATGCCAACAAGGGCAGTTTGCTGATCAGGTCAATGAATGTTGGAAATTGTCAAGGATGGCCCCACCCAAGGGACCACACTACCAAGTGAACAACACCCCAGAAAATGTGGGTGAAGCAGCTGTGCAGTTCCACCTACAACCAGCAGGGTGCGCACATTGAATCCCAGTCTGCCAGGGAGGGGCTCCCCGGTATCCAGCAGTTTCTGACTTGTTGGATGGGAGGGCCAGCAGCCTCGGGATCAAGAAGGACAGCCTGGGCTGACAGGCGTAAAGATGGCCGGATACAAACGCCCTGGCCTTCCACTTTGGTGCTGGCAGGTGGCGACTGCGGCGTCCTTCATGCCGGAGGCGCTCAGTTACAATGGTGGGTGAGGGTCAAGTATACGGATCGGAGTGTGCCAGATGTAGTAGCTTGGTCCAACCCCAGCCTCTTGGCAGGAGCTCGGTTTCCTGCTCTGGCCTCAGCTCATCCATCTGTGAAATGGGTCTAAGAATTCCTCAGAGAATTCAAGCAGATGCTGATGAACACAGGCCCTTCTGGAAGCCCCCACCACCCGAAGCCCAGGGGGGTCCCGTGTTGGAGGCCCTGAAGGAGAGGGCACCACATAGGAGGCCAGAGCCCGTACAAAGCAGGTCGTGTTTGTCTGAATTGCGTCACAACGGGAGATAGCTGAGGCCCATCCAGGGGCTCCTTGGTGTATGGGGCTGCCCTGAGACACAGTGACCAGGGGGCTGGGAATGGAAGCCCCCAACAAAGGCAGCAGAAGGCCTAGGAGTGGCAGTGTGCCCAGGCTGCTCCTTGGGCTAGGGAGTCTGTGGCAGGCTGGTGGCAGTGTGGCATGATGTAAGTCCCCAGCCCTGTCCCTGGGCAGACATCCTTTGCTATTGAGTCAGAGTCCCTGTGTCCCTTCCCATCTTACATCTTCCGTGGCCGAGAGTAACCGGATGAGCTCTGCTGGAGCAACGGCGCCCTCTGCTGGCCTCTTCCCAGCAGGCCCAGATCAGGGGCTGGTAGCCGCCCATCGGCAAGGTTAACTTCTGGACGCCACACTCAGGGTTGCAGTCTTCTGCTTGGGGCCCTGGTGGGGTGGGGGCCGTTTCCTGGCCCTCTGTGTCCCAGGCTGCCCTCTCTTCCTCCGTCAGGCCAGAATGGCTGTCATAGTGGACAGGCTGCTGTCCACAGTAAGTCTGACGTCAGCAGTAACAAGAGCGTGGCGGCCGCCAGTGTGATGGTTGTGGCCCGGGGGAGCGGGGAGGCGAGGGAGGTACAGGAACAGACCTCGAACCCATCCTCAGAGCGGCTCTGGTCGTGCTGGCCTGGCCGGGCTGGGACCCCGTCTTCACGGTCTGAGCTGGCAACCTTGGGGTCCCCTGCCTGCAGATCCTCACAGACTAGCCAGTCCCGGGCAGTGGACTGCGGGTACCCGGGCGCCACCTCCAGTTCGCTGTCCAGCACCTTCCAGTAGTCCTTGCCGCGGAAAAAGTAAGAGGCACCTGGGAATGGAGAAAAGAGAAGACATGAGACTGGCCCACAGCAGGAAGGACTCCAGTCAGACAGCAGGAAGGACTGGGGAGCTGGGAGCACAGGGCTGGTGGGAGATGGAGATGCTCATTGGGGTCAGGCCTGGGAAGCTCGGGAGCAGCGTGCCTGCAGGCAGGAAATGGATGTGTCAACCACTTGGTTTCCTGCACCTAATAGAGGTTGGAGGTTCAAGTCTACCCAGAGGCATCTGGGGAGAAAGGTCTAGTGATCTACGTCTAAAATATTAAAAACCAAAGCCAAACCCTCTATCGTCATTTCAGTTATAACTCCTAAGAATACTAGAGGGCAGGGGACAGAGATTGTAAATCTTTACAAAAGCAAACTTCTTCATCTCTCTCCGAGGAGTGGCCTGTGGATTCACACTGCAGACTTTTCAGTGAGTAGTCAAGTGCTTGACTGCAGTGCCAGCGGGGTCCCTCCCGAAGAGCATAACCTTGAAAGCCCAATAGATCACCAATGAAGAACTCAGGCACACACGGGGTGGCCAGGAGCCAGGGTTCATTCGGTGGCAGCGGGGGTTCTGGGTGGCATTTGATCCACAGGTTGGTGATGGGAACCCACCCCATGTGCTTGGAAGAACGGTCTGGCAATCATTCCTCATAAAGATTTCAACCAGAAAGCCCCTACAGCACACAGCTCTATTCTCACACGCAGCGTCACTGTGGGTTAGAAAACTCCGGGGCAAGTGGTCAGCACTTGGTCACACTTGGTCACACCTGCCGACCTCAGTATGAGCAGTCCCCAGCAGGCATGTCAGCTCACTGCTGGCTAGGCTGAGTGTGTGGGAAGGGTTGCGGGAGGCAGGGTCTGCTCAGGAAGACCCCTCCATGGCTGACGGTGTCTGTGAGGGAGCACAGGCCTGTGTGGTGGACCAGGGAGGCATGGAGGGTGTGCTGTGGTTGAGAGCCGTAGGGTGCACAGCAGGTGGACCTACTCCTGGGCCCTCTGACCCCTGCTCCGAGCAGGTACTCACCATCGGACCAGCGCATGGCGTCGTCCAGTGCACTGGGGACACCCCTCCATGGGGGGCTCTGGGCGGGGTAGCCGGGGTCCATGCGCCGCACGTGGTCATCGAAGCGCCAGTGCAGCTGGCCCTTAAAGAAATAAGTCTTGTCATTGTGGGCCCAGGAGAAGGCAGCATCCACGCCGCCCGGCGGAAGGCTGAAGTCGGAGATGGGCCGCGGGTATCCTTCCTCTATGTTATTGTCCTTAAATACCCAGTATCTGTCTCCTGGGGGCGAGAGAGAATGCTTCAGAGAATGCCAGAGGGGGCTACTTTGTCTCCGCCCCAAGGTGCAGGGGCTCCAGCCCTCCCTACCCCCTTAAACTGGCTGCTCCCAACGTAAGCACAGAGGGACCTGTGGCTTTGAGACCCCATCACGGTCACATCTAGGTCCACACTTCCCAAGTGTCACGGAGAACGTGGGACATGTCTTCAAGTGTCCCAGGGCCACGGACCCCAAGGACCTTCTGGAGAACCCCCTCTCACAATCTGGAGGCCAGGAGTCCGAGGGCAAGGTGTGGTGGGGCCATGCTCCCTTAATCCATCCTGGCCTCTTCCAGCACCTGACCCTGGACTGCGGTCTTCCATCCCTGCAATCTTTGTCTCTGTCTTCACATGGCTGCCTTCCCTGTCTGGCTGCGTCCCGTCTCCTTTTCTTACAATGAAACCAATCGTATAGGACAAGGACTCAGCTACTCCTGCGTGACCTCATACTAACTTAACGACATCCGCAAAGACCCTCTTCACAAATGTGACCTTCACAGATGTCCAGGGTGGGAAGATGTCTTTGCAGATGACAGTCATCTCGTGGCAGGGCGTGCATACAGGAGGAATGGACTGACAAGCCCTTCACAGGTGAGGAGATGGCGTTGGGAGAGACCACCACGAGAGATGCTCCCTGCTGCTCTCCTGCCTTATGGACTCCTGCTGAGGGAGCCAGGAACTTCAGAGAGAGGAGAAAGGCACCGTGTGATCCTCATGCCTCGGTGCAACTCAAATCAGAATTGAGGCCTGCTGAGGACCACTGAGGAATTGCCAAGGAATTGTCAGGGGCCGCCAAGTAACCACAGCACTGACCAGTGGGCAGTAGAGTGCCGGTAGAGTGGAACTGATGGGAAGTAGCAGCCAAGAAATCAGATGACGTATTGCATTAGGCAAATCTGCTGCACAAGACCTTTTCAAAGTGTTGAAGAGCAAAGATATGAGCTCAAGGACTAAGGTGTGCCTGACCCAAGCCATGGTATTTCCAATAGCCTCATATGCATGCGAAAGCTGGACAGTGAATAAGGAAGACTGTAGAATAACTGATGTATTTGACTTATGGTGTTGGGCGAGAGTATTGAAGGTACCATGGGCTGCCAAAAGACCCAACAGATCCATTTTAGAAGAAATATAGTTAGAGAGCTCCTTGAGGCCAAGATGGCCAGACTTCATCTCTCATACTTCAGACATATTGTCAGGAGGGACAAGTTCCTGGAGAAGGATATCATGATTGGTAATATGGAAGGTCAGAGAAAAAGGAAGACCCCCAATCAAGATGGATTGGCAAAGTGGCAGCATCAATGGGCTCCAGCGTGGCAATGATAGTGAGGTTGGCCCAGGATCGGGCAGTGGTTCGTTCTGTTGTGCACAGGGTCACTATGAGTCAGTACCGACTCAACAGCACCTAACAACAACAACGACATCACAGGAGTTGAAGTCCCGGCGCTGTGGGTTAATGCGCGTGAACTGCAAGGTTGGTGGTTCAAGCTCACTAGCAGCTCCTTGGAAACCCTATACAGGATCGCTGTGAGTTGGAACAGACTCGATGGCACATGACAACAACAACATTGGGAGTTAGTAGTTGACAAGATGTCCACAAGTTTCCTAGTGTTTTATCAACACAAGTCCCCCAGTGGAAGGTTTTTAAAGAGCAGAGACTTATTTTCTCACAGCTCTGGAAGCCAGGCTGTTTACCTTGTCAATTCCTTCCTTGCTGGTGCACCGGGCACTGCTTGGCTCTTGGCGAACCTCACAAGGTGTCTGTCGTGCCCAGGATGTACCAGCTTCTGTGTCTACAATGCTATTTCTGACTCGGGCATGACTGGGATTTAGACCTATCCTACAATGTTATGGGAGTTCTGGTGTAGCGCTACGGGTTAGTGCACAGGATTGCAAAGTCAGCTTGAACTACAAGGTCGGCAGGTTCAAGCTCACCAGCTGCTCCTCGGAAACCTGATACAGGGTTGCCATGGGTCAGAATCTACCTGACGGCACTTAAGAACAATGACGTCATGGCCTTATTAATTAATGCTGAAATTTTCAAACAGGACCACACCCACAGACAGGGTTCCCACACATATTCCAGGGACACCTCTGTACATATGAGGTGACACGTTCAGCACATAGGAGCACTAACTTTACCATGCAAAGCCAGGAGGACACCAGCGTCTAAGACATCATCAGGCTGAGTGCATCCCCGGAAGGACCGTGGAGATTACATCGCCTCTGCGATGCCCCCAAGTGTGATTATGATGAGGCCTGACCAGCAGGAAGCCCAGACAGGCCTGTAGGAGGGGTACCTGAGGGGGGCTCTGAGCGAGCCAAGGGGACTCTGGAGGAAGGAGGTGCTGCTCCGAGATACCGAACGTTCTGTGTGGTCCTGGGCGTGGCTGGGAGGCGGGAGTGCTTAGGGATCAGCACTGTGTAGTACCGGGTGTCTGAGCACATGCGGGGGTCACTGATGGCATGATTCAGGAGAAACCCGGTCTCTGAGCATACATGGGTGAAGTAAAGCAAATGGGACGAAATGTTAGTAGGCAGCAATTCCAGATGGCACGCTTTTGAAACCTTCCTGGATGTTAGAATTTTTTTCCAAAGCGAAGTTAAGAATGAGGTGGCACATGATCTAGTGACATAAAGGAATCAATCTCTGAGGTGTATCAGCAAGTGAAAACAGCAAGGCGGTCAGGAAGGCGAACAGAAATAGGGGCACCAGTGCCAGAGGGTGGAGATGGCCAGAATGCCCATCAGCAGACACCCGGGACACACACACCAAAGGACACTACTCGGCTACAAAGAGAAACCCCGTCTTGACGCCTGCCACCGCACAGCTGACCCGTGCAAACATGCTGAGTGAGATCAGTCAGATGCAACAGGAATCATACTGTATGAGCTCGCTCTAGGTATGAGCAGATAAAACCCCAAATTCATGCGTGGGTCTCATCGGGCGGACATGTGTGGACTGAGAGAGACCAGTCCCTGGAGAAGGACATGATGCTTGGCAAAGCAAAGGGTCAGCGTCAATGGGCACAAGGCTGGCAAGGACTGTGAGGTGTCCAGGACTGGGCGGTGTACCATCTGTTGTACAGAGTTGCTAGGAGTTAGAACTGACTCAATGGCACTTAGTGATAACAATCAGAATTGAGAGAGAGGTGGAAGGCATGACTCTCAGTGTGTGGAGCTCTGTGGTGATGTAATGTGGCAGCCATGTAGAGAGGCCCCAGGTGTGATCTGATGTGATAAATCAGTAAGAAGATTAAGGGTAGGCTGCAATGCTTTAAATCACATTACCAAGATCCCAAATCTAGATCCTGTATCAGAGAGTTTCCCAGGGCTGTGTGGTCTGCAACACCTTCTATCTTACAGGAGATCAAAGGAGAGAGAAGTGAACAGGGAAGGGAGCCTCACTCCCACCCAAAACAGCAGGGAGTGGAGGGCATCCTCTGGACCTGGGGTCCCCGCACGGTGAAGCTCCTAGGTCCAGGAGAAGACTGATGCCAAGACGCATGGAGATCACCAAGGAATGCTGGGACCATAGATGCTGAAAGGAGACAAGGCCCTTTATTCAAAGCTGGAGTTCTGGATTTAGACTATGAGAGAATCCATTTCTCCGCCCACATGTGGTATTTTTGTTCTCGCCACATTAGAGAGCTAAGACTGGGGCTTTCAGGGTTTCCTCATGGCCAAGGCAGTGTCTCTGAAAGAAACCAAGTGCCCCCAAGTGGGCACTGGAGGGTTTGCTCTGACAGCTAAAAGCTGGTGGGGTCACCACACTTCAGTGCCTAGGAGGTCCTGTAAAGGAGCAGGCAGGTCTGACTGCAAAAAAGATGCTGGACATTCTTACGTTCTTGAAGAAACACAGTCTCTCCCATTTCTGTGGGTACACCTCCTGGAACGGGTTGAATATCTTCCCCCTAAATTCATGTCCACCCCAGACCTCAGAATTCGACCTTATTTGGAAACAGGGTCCTTGCAGGTGTGATGAGTCAAGTTATGACAAGGTCAACCTGGACTCGGGAGATTCTAATCCAATGATGGCGACTCCTAGTGTGGAGCTGTAGTATTAAAGCTGGACTGCAAACAACCAGGTTCACAGTTCAAATCCACCAGCTGCTCCTCGGAAACCCTATACAGGGTCGCTATAAGTCAGCACGGACTCGATGGCACTTAACAAGAATCCGATGCCAGTGGTGACTTTCTTGCTGCTTTGGTACTGGAAGCTATGTTACTGGTATTTTAAATACCAGCAGGGTCAGCCATGGTGGACAGGTTTCAGTGGATGGAACTTCCAGACGAAGACAGACAGAAGGAAGGAGAAGCGGACTACTTCCGAATGATGAGCCACCGAAAACCTTATGACTAGCCAAGGAATATTGTCAGATATTGAACCGGAGGCTGAGCCTCTCAGCCTGGAGGGCACTTAAAATGTGACTGGGGAGGAGCTGCCTCCTCAAAGTCGAGTTGACCATAATGATGCAATTGAAGTAAAGGTTTCAGGACCTTCGTGTGCTGACAGGGCACAACTCGAAATGAGGAGAAACAGCTGCAAACATCCATTAATAACTGCAATGTGGAATATACAAAACAGGAATATAGGAAAACTGGAAGTTGTAAAAAATAACATAGAAATCATAAGGATCAATACTCGAGGCGCTAGTGAGCTGAGATGGACAGTGTCGGCCATTTTGAATCAGACAGTCACATGATTTACTATATTGCGGGAATGACACATGGGAGCGGAATGGCAATGCAATCATTCATGATCAAAAAGAGCACTTCAAATCGACCTTGAAGGACAGTGCTGCCTCTGATAGGATAAGAGCCACACACCTATAAGGAAGCCCAGTTAATATCACTATTACTCAAATTTACGCACCAACCACTAAAGCCAATGTGGATGAAACGGAAGAATTCTGTGATTTCTTCAGTGTGAAACTGCTCAAACATGCAATAAAGCCACACTGATCATCACTGGGGATCGGGATGCAAAAGTTAAACACAAAGAGGAAGGATCAGTAGTTGGAAAAGCCGGCCTTGGTGACAGAAATCACGCCGGCTACCATATGATCGCATTTTGCAAGACCAATGACTTATTCACTGTAAATTCCTTTATTAAAGACATAAAAGGCAACTATACACATGAACCTCACTGAAACCAGACTACATCTCTGGGAAGACACAGTGGAAAAGCTCAATATCATCAGTGAAAACAAGGCCAGGCGCCAACTGTCAACAGCTCATATGCAAGTTCAGGCTGAAGCTGAAGAATATTAAAACATCTCCACATGAGCCAAAATATGATTTTGAATATATCAATTTAGAGACCATCTCAAGAAGAGATTTAACGCATTAGACACTAATGACCGAAGACCAGAAGAATTGTGGGATGACATTAAGAAGATCGTACAGGAAGAAAGCAGAAAGTCATTAAAACGACAGGGAGATAGAAAAGATCAAATTGGATGTCAGAAGAGATTCTAAAACTTGCTAAAGCAACATGAAGAAACGAAGAAGTAAAAAGCTGAACAGAACATTTCAAAGGTAGCCCCAGAAGACAGAGTCAAGTATTATAATGAAATGTGAAAGGCCTAGAGTTAGGGAGCCAAAAGGGAAGAACATGCTCAGCATTTCTCAAACTGAAAGAGCTGAAGAAAAAAATTCAAGCCTCGACCAACAATAGTGAAGGATTCTATGGGCAAAACGGGGTCCTGGTGTGGCGCTGTGGATTCATGCACTGGACTGCAAAGTTGTTTGAACCGCAAGGTTGGCAGTTCAAGGTCTCCAAAGAAAGGCTCCTCAGAAGCACTATGCAGAGTTGCTATGGGTCAGAAGTGACTCGACAGCACTTAACAACAACAACATGGGCAAAATACTGAATGATGCAGAACGCATCCAAAGAAGATAGAAGGAATACACAGAACCATTGTACAAAAAAGAATTGGTCGGTGTCCAACCATTTGAAGAGGGAGCACATGATCAAGAACCGATGGTTCTGAGGGAAGAATTTCAGGCTGCACTGAAGGCCCTGACAAAAAGCAAAGGCTCCAGGAATTGAAGGAATACAAACAGAAATGTTTCAACAAACTGACGCAGTGCTGGAGGTTGTCAATCGTCTGTGCCAAGAAAGTTGGAAGATAGTGACCTGGCCAGTCGATTGGGAGAGATTCATACTTGTGTCCATTCCAAAGAGAGGTAATCAAGTGGGGTGCAGAAATTCAACTAATATCATTAATATCACATGCCAATAAAATTTTGCTGAAGATAATTTTTAAATGGCTCTAACAGTTCATCAACAGGGAACTACCAGAAATTCAAGTAAGATTCAGACAAGGACGTGGGAAGAGGGATATCATTACTGCTGTCAGATAGATCTTGGTTGAAAACAGAAAATACCAGAAAGATATTTATTTGTGCTTTATTGACTATACAAAATCTTTTGACCATGTGGATCATGATAAACTATGTTCAACAATGCGAAGAATGGGTATTTCAGGAGACTTCATTGCGCTTATGAGAAACCTGCTCATAGATCAAGATGGAGTCATTAGAGCAGAGCGGGGAGACACTGAGTGGTTTAAAATCAGGAAAGGTGTGAGCCAGGGTTATATTCTTTCACCATATTTATTCAATCTGTATGCTGAGCAAACAATCTGAGGAGCTGGATTATACAAACAAGACAATTTATATGAAGAAAAGGATTGGAGGAGGACTCATTAACAATCTGCCATATGCAGATGATGTAAATTTGCTTGTTGAAAGCAAAAAAAGGACTTAAAATACTTACTAATGAAAATCAAAGACCACAGCCTTCAGTACGGATTGCAATTATTATGAACAAAACAAAAATCCTCACTGATAAATAACATCCAGCTATATGGAGAAAAGATAAAGTTGTCAAAGACTTCATTTTACTTGGCTCCACATTGAACACTCAGAGAAGCAGCTATCAAGAAACCAAATGCCATATTGCATTGGGCAAATCTACTGCGTAACATCTCTTTAAAGTGTTAAAGACCAAAGACGTCAATTTGAGGACTAAGGTGTGCCTGACTCAAGTCATGTTGTTTTCAATAGCTTCATGTGCATGTGAATGCTGGACGGTGAGTAAGGAAGACCGAAGACCGAAGACGGCAGGAGAAGTGATGCATTTGAATGCTGGTGTTGGGGAAGAGCATTAAAAGTACCACGGATTACAATCAAATGTGTCTTGGAAGTCAGGATGGTGGGACTTTGGACATGTCAGGAGGGACCAGTCATTCTAGAAGGACATCATGTTTGGTAAAGTGGGGGTTCAGCATCAAAGAGGAAGACCCTTCACAGGATGGACTGGTACAATGGCGGCAGCAGCAGTGGGTTCAGCTGGCACAACAGTTAGGAGGGCACAGAACCCGGGAGTGTTTCCTTCTGTTGTCCATAGGGTCACTGTGAGTGGGAACAAACTCGACAGCACCTAACCACCACAACAAATCCAATAACTATAGTCCTGATGTGTAGCATGAGCACTAGACTGCTAACTGCAAGGTGGGTGGTTCAAACCCACCAGCTGTTCCTCAGAAACCCTGACTCCACAGCACTTAATAACAACCCAGTAACCTTAGTGGGGGCACTGTGGGTTAGATACTGAGCTAATACTGAAAGGTCTTCAAACCCACCAGCTGCTCGGTGGGAGAAAGATGAGCCTGTCGGCTTCCATCTATGGGTGAAGGACCTCTGGTTCCTTAGTGATTAAAGAGCTTGGCTGCTAATCAAAACATCAGCGACTGGAATCCACTGGTGGCCCTCAGCAGGAAGAGACAGCCTTCTAATTCATACAGTTTACAGCCTCAGAGACCTACAGGGACAGAGCTCAACTGGACTTGCCGGAAATGGGTTCTAGCCACTGGCTGGTGTCATCTTCTCAAGATGGCCATGTGACTGAAGTCAGGCAGAGTGGGAGGGTAAGCTGGCAGAGGCAAGGCGGATCCTCCTATAGTCTCTGGCAGGGGCACAGCCCGTCCACACCCTGATCTCTGGCTCCTGGCCTTCAGAGCTGGGGTTTTCAACCGTGGGTCTGTGGGATCTGTGAGGATCACATACCTCCACTTCTCTGACTTTACAACTCTCTACAGATAAAAACCGGGCAGTGTTCCCTTGTGTTGTGCGTAGGTGGTTATGCGTCGGAACTGACTAAACAGCACCTGACTATAACAGAAAAACGGCTCCACATAAGGCAAACACCTGTGCACACCTACCAGCATCAAGGTCGCAGATACGGAGCTCGGGTGTGGGTGGGTGGAGGGGTGGAGGGGCAGCCGGTTAACCCTGTCAACCTAGCTGTGGACCACACAGGCCCAGAATGTCCTGATGCCAGTGGGACAATCCCCAGTTTCTCACTTTCATTTAAAATTCCAATGGAAAAGAGTGCTCCGTGCCAGGACCCACCCTGACAGCGGCCTGCTGTAGGCAGCAATTTCGTGGGCTGCAGGGTCCCCACATGTGAAGGGCTCAGGCCTCCTAGGCCCCACAGTCCCCACTCAGGGGTGACTGAAGTGGAGGGGTCTGGGTTCAGGCTAGGGGAGCACTTTATCTAGGACACTGGTGCCACCAGACAATATGGAGGAGCTAAGACCCCAGGCCCACGTAACACAATCCCAGGTACTGCAGAATTTAGGGGCTCAGTCCCCAGTATACAGAGCCCTCCCCACAAACAGAGCCCTTACAGCAGGCTCTGTGGTCGCGTCCGTGACCAGGCTTCTAACGCACCACAGACACTGGTACCTGGGGGCTTTGCAGTGGCTGTTCCAACACTCTTCCACAGCCCCTTCTTGGAGGCTCCCCTGTCAACACACCACCCTTGGGAGACCCCAGCTCAGGCCTCGTGGAGAGGACAGCTGGCCTCTGCTTTGTCCACTCTGGCCTATAACTGGGCAGGCAGTCAGTGCCCCGCTCAGCCGGGGGCAGGCCCACCTTTGAAGAAGACGATTTTGTGGTCACTGGTGCGTTCGTAGACGGCGTCCACGCTGTCCAGGTGTAGCGGCAGCCCCCGCCAGAAGCGGTGCATCTGCGCCGGCCGCAGGGACACCAGATGGCGGTCCCGGGTTAGTCTCCAGAAGTACTTGCCTGTAGGGATAGAGAAGGGGCTGCAGGCTGCTGTGGGTCTGGGGTCCGGCCGGGGTCTAATCCGTCTGCTGCCCAGCACTGCCCACCAGTTACCTTTGAAGAAGAAAGCCTCTCCGCGGATCTGGGCCACCGCGTCAAAATGCGCGCTGCACCGGTGCGGCACGTCCTTCCCGGGCCTGTGGACGAGACGGGGGCGGCAGTGCACGGGGCGGGGCTAGTACCAACGGGGCGGGGCTAGCACCAGGTGGGTGGGGCGCACGTTGGGAGTCAGGTGATGGGTGACCTGATGGCTACTGGTTGTTTTGTTTTTACCAAATGCTGTCCTTCTACTTCCAACTCCAGAACGTGACCCTGTAGCCATCAGCACAACCACCT